GAGTGGAGGGTGGCGGGGAAGAGAGTAGGGGGAGTGGAGGGTGGCGGGGAAGAGAGTAGGGGGAGTGGAGGGTGGCGGGGAAGAGAGTAGGGGGAGTGGAGGGTGGCGGGGAAGAGAGTAGGGGGAGTGGAGGGTGGCGGGGAAGAGAGTAGGGGGAGTGGAGGGTGGCTGGGAAGAGAGTAGGGGGAGTGGAGGGTGGCTGGGAAGAGAGTAGGGGGAGTGGAGGGTGGCTGGGAAGAGAGTAGGGGGAGTGGAGGGTGGCTGGGAAGAGAGTAGGGGGAGTGGAGGGTGGCTGGGAAGAGAGTAGAGGGAGTGGAGGGTGGCTGGGAAGAGAGTAGGGGGAGTGGAGGGTGGCGGGGAAGAGAGTAGGGGGAGTGGAGGGTGGCTGGGAAGAGAGTAGGGGGAGTGGAGGGTGGCGGGGAAGAGAGTAGGGGGAGTGGAGGGTGGCTGGGAAGAGAGTAGGGGGAGTGGAGGGTGGTGGGAAGAGAGTAGGGGGAGTGGAGGGTGGCTGGGAAGAGAGTAGGGGGAGTGGAGGGTGGCGGGGAAGAGAGTAGGGGGAGTGGAGGGTGGCGGGGAAGAGAGTAGGGGGAGTGGAGGGTGGCTGGGAAGAGAGTAGGGGGAGTGGAGGGTGGCTGGGAAGAGAGTAGGGGGAGTGGAGGGTGGCTGGGAAGAGAGTAGGGGGAGTGGAAGGGTGGCGGGGAGGGTGGCGGGGAGAGAGTAGGGGGAGTGGAGGGTGGCTGGGAAGAGAGTAGGGGGAGTGGAGGGTGGCGGGGAAGAGAGTAGGGGGAGTGGAGGGTGGCGGGGAAGAGAGTAGGGGGAGTGGAGGGTGGCTGGGAAGAGAGTAGGGGGAGTGGAGGGTGGCGGGGAAGACAGTAGGGGGAGTGGAGGGTGGCGGGGAAGTTGGTGAGAGACACGGGCGGGAAAAGTTGATGGGAAGAAGTAGGGGGAGAGGAGGGGTGGCGGGGAAGAGAGTAGGGGGAGTGGAGGGTATGTGGTGAGAGACACGGGCGGGAAAATTGATGGAAAAAGAGGACTGTGGGGTGGAAATGAAAGGTATGAATATTGTATTCGAAAATGCATCTGACAATTCCTGAACATGATTGGTTTTGTATTTTATGTACAACTGATGCCGTTTATTGTATTGTTCACAGAGACTGATGCAGTGAACCTTGGTTCCCGGTTTCCCATTATTGGGGACAGGAAGCCCGTTAGGCTTCTTGCGGTTCCACTAGGCCAACAATTGGATGCCACCCACAACAGTCTCCTAGCCCATGGATACCTATTCTCTGCTAAGTGAACATAAGCGTCAGGTAAAACACCTTGCCCAAATGTGTATGGTGAGTATATCACTGTGGATTGTTTAAACATATTCCTTGTGTCTTGGAAATACTGGCAATTATATCTTAGACATGTTCTGGCCGTAGCAGATATAAAAGATGGTATACCTCCTCCTTATGATCCCCCCATATATATATATATATATATATATATATATATATATATATATATATATATATATATATATATATATATATATATATATATATATATATTGTAGCTAGAACGCCATACTCGGCCTACTATGCAAGGCCCGATTTGCCTAATAGGCCGAGTGATTTTCTTTTTCAAAAAATTGTTTCCAATTGATTTATTTGAAATATTATGATATATATATATTATGTGTGTGTGTGTGTGTGTGTACTCACCTCACCTAATTGTACTCACCTAATTGTGCTTGCGGGGGTTGAGCTCTGGCTCTTTGGTCCCGCCTCTCAACCGTCAATCAACAGGTGTACAGGTTCCTGAGCCTACTGCATGGGCCCTATCATATCTACACTTGAAACTGTGTATGGAGTCAGCCTCCACCACATCACTGCCTAATGCATTCCACCTGTTAACTACTCTGACACCGAAAAAGTTCTTTCTAACGTCCCTGTGGCTCATGTGGGTACTCAGTTTCCACCTATGTCCCCTTGTTCGCGTACCACCAGTGTTGAATAGTTTATCCTTGTCTACCCGGTCGATTCCCCTGAGAATTTTATAGGTTGTGATCATGTCTCCCCTTACTCTGCTGTCTTCCAGTGTCGTAAGGTGCATTTCCCGCAGCTTTTCCTCGTAACTCATGCCTCTTAGTTCTGGGACTAGTCTAGTGGCATACCTCTGAACTTTTTCCAGCTTCGTCTTGTGCTTGACAAGGTACGAGCTCCATGCTGGGGCCGCATACTCCAGGATTGGTCTTACATATGTGGTGTACAAGATTCTGAATGATTCCTTACACAGGTTCCTGAACGCTGTTCTGATGTTCGCCAGCCTCGCATATGCCGCAGACGTTATTCTTTTTATGTGGGCTTCGGGAGACAGGTTTGGTGTGATATCAACTCCTAGATCTTTCTCTCTGTCCGTTTCATTAAGTACTTCATCTCCTATTCTGTATCCTGTGTCTGGTCTCCTGTTTCCACCGCCTAGTTTCATTACTTTGCATTTACTCGGGTTGAACTCTAACAGCCATTTGTTGAACCATTCACTCAGTCTGTCTAGGTCATCTTGTAGCCTCCTCCTATCATCCTCTGTTTCAATCCTCCTCATAATTTTTGCATCATCAGCGAACATTGAGAGAAACGAGTCTATACCCTCTGGGAGATCATTTACAAATATTAGAAACAGTATAGGTCCAAGGACTGACCCCTGCGGGACTCCACTTGTAACATCTCGCCAATCTGAGACCTCACCACTCACATTGACTCCTTGTCTCCTGTTGCTTAGGTACTCCTTTATCCAATGGAGTACCTTCCCTTTCACTCCAGCCTGCATCTCCAGCTTTTTCACTAGCCTCTTGTGTGGTACTCAACCCGTTCTCGCAAATTTAATAAGTCAATATTGACTTATTAAATATGTTCATAGGTGACATACTTAATATAATAGTTTCCCTTGAAAAGCTTCATAGAAAACACCGACCTTACCTAACCTACTTAATATAAGCATCTTATTGCTTCGTAATTACAATTATTACCTAATTTATACCTATAATAAGTTAAGTAACAATTGTAATTACGAAGCTATATGATGCTTATTTTAACATACTAAGTAGGTTAGGTAAGTTCGGTGTTTTCTATGAAGCTTTTCAAGGGAAACTATTATGTTTAGTATGTCACCTATGCACGCAACTAATAAGTCAATATTGACTTATTAAATTTGCGAGAACGGGTTGGTGGTACTGTATTAAAGGCTTTCTGGCAATCAAAAAATATGCAGTCTGCCCACCTTTCTCTTTCTTGCCTGATTTTTGTTGCCTGGTCGTTATATTCAAGTAACCTTGTGAGGCAGGACCTGTCATCCCTGAACCCATGTTGATGCTGTGTTACAAAGTTCCTTCGCTCCAGATGTTCCACTAGCTTTCTTCGCACAATCTTCTCCATCAGCTTGCAAGGTATGCAGGTTAGGGACACTGGCCTGTAGTTCAGTGCCGCCTGTCTATCCCCTTTCTTGTAAATCGGGACTACGTTAGCTGCTTTCCAAATTTCTGAGTTTCCCTGTTGCCAGTGATTTGTTATACACTATGGAGAGTGGCACTGTGTGTGTGTGTGTGTGTGTGTGTGTGTACTCACCTATATGTGCTTGCAGGATCGAGCATTGACTCTTGGATCCCGCCTTTCGAGCATCGGTTGTTTACAGCAATGACTCCTGTCCCATTTCCCTATCATACCTGGTTTTAAAATTATGAATAGTATTTGCTTCCACAACCTGTTCCTGAAGTGCATTCCATTTCCCCACTACTCTCACGCTAAAAGAAAACTTCCTTACATCTCTGTGACTCATCTGAGTTTCAAGCTTCCATCCATGTCCTCTCGTTCTGTTACTATTCCGTGTGAACATTTCGTCTATGTCCACTCTGTCAATTCCTCTGAGTATCTTATACGTTCCTATCATGTCCCCCCTCTCCCTTCTTCTTTCTAGTGTCGTAAGGCACAGTTCCCTCAGGCGCTCTTCATACCCCATCCCTCGTAGCTCTGGGACGAGTCTCGTTGCAAACCTCTGAACCTTTTCCAGTTTCATTATATGCTTCTTCAGATGGGGACTCCATGATGAGGCGGCATACTCTAAGACTGGCCTTACGTAGGCAGTGTAAAGCGCCCTAAATGCCTCCTTACTTAGGTTTCTGAATGATGTTCTAACTTTTGCCAGTGTAGAGTACGCTGCTGTCGTTATCCTATTAATATGTGCCTCAGGAGATAGATTAGGTGTTACGTCCACCCCCAGGTCTCTTTCACGCGTCGTTACAGGTAGGCTGTTCCCCTTCATTGTGTACTGTCCCTTTGGTCTCCTATCTCCTAGTCCCATTTCCATAACTTTACATTTGCTCGTGTTGAATTCTAGTAGCCATTTCTCTGACCATCTCTGCAATCTGTTCAGGTCCTCTTGGAGGATCCTGCAATCCTCATCTGTCACAACTCTTCTCATCAACTTTGCATCATCCGCAAACATCGACATGTAGGACTCTACGCCTGTAAACATGTCGTTAACATACACAAGAAATAGAATTGGTCCCAGCACCGATCCTTGTGTGTGTGTGTGTGTGTGTGTGTGTGTGTGTGTGTGTGTTTACTAGTTGTGTTTTTGCGGGGGTTGAGCTTTGCTCTTTCGGCCCGCCTCTCAACTGTCAATCAACTGTTTACTAACTACTTTTTTTTTCTCCACACCACACATACACACCCCAGGAAGCAGCCCGTGACAGCTGACTAACTCCCAGGTACCTATTTACTGCTAGGTAACAGGGGCACTTAGGGTGAAAGAAACTTTGCCCATTTGTTTCTGCCTCGTGCGGGAATCGAACCCGCGCCACAGAATTACGAGTCCTGCGCGCTATCTACCAGGCTACGAGGCCCCCTTGTGTGTGTGTGTGTGTGTGTGTGTGTGTGTGTGTGTGTGTGTGTGTGTGTGTGTGTGTGTGTGTGTGTGTGTGTGTGTGTGTGTGTGCGCGCGCGCGCGCGCGCGCTGCCAACCGTTGTGTTTGAGGAGGTAAAGTGCTGTTGAGGAGCACAGGAGGCGGCAGAGGGCGCCGGGGAGGCAGAGGGCGCCGGGGCGGCAGAGGGCGCCGGGGCGGCAGAGGGCGCCGGGGCGGCAGAGGGCGCCGGGGCGGCAGAGGGCGCCGGGGCGGCAGAGGGCGCCGGGGCGGCAGAGGGCGCCGGGGCGGCAGAGGGCGCCGGGGCGGCAGAGGGCGCCGGGGAGGCAGAGGGCGCTGCCATACACCTACAAGTTCAGCGCCGCCCACACGCCAGGAGAAAGATTAACAGTTAGGGAAGGTGTCGGGGGCGGCGGGACAATGGTGAGGAGGGCGGCCATCAGCGGCGGGGACAATCAGCCCGTGGAGTGTTGCCTCGCTCACGCACACAATACACACCCATACACTCTGCGTCACGCCAACAACGACGCTCTTACTGCAATCTATTGTACTCTGCTTGGAGCTTATTTGGTCCATGTGATTAGATGCGGGTCACACTCGCACTGGTAACTTCCAGTAACCCAACCAAGGTTAGGAGGCCTCGTAGCCTGGTGGATAGCGCGCAAGACTCTTAAATCTGTGGCGCGGGTTCGATTCCCGCACAAGGCAGAAACAAATGGGCAAAGTTTCTTTCACCCTGAATGCCCCTGATACCTAGCAGTAAATAGGTACCTGGGAGTTAGTCAGCTGTCACGGACTGCTTCCTGGTGTGTGTGTGTGTGTGTGTGTGTGTGTGTGTGTGTGTGTGTGTGTGTGTGTGTGTGTGTGTGTGTGTGTGTGTGTGTGTGTGTGTGTGTGTGTGGGGTGTGGAAAAAAAGTAGTTAGTAACAGTTGAGAGGCGGGCCGAAAGAGCAGAGCTCAACCCCCGCAAACACAACTAGGTGAATACACCCATTAAAAATAATTCCTTTTTATATAACCATTTCTTTAACCGCACTATAGGCCTAAGTTACCTTTTATGGTTCAACGCGCAAGTAACATGACTAAAGTTTATAGGTGAAGACAAATATATTGCAAGTTTATAACGGAGTTTAATTACTAGACAAAACGAGGTGTTTAGGAACGTTTTCTTACACATTTTGCCTCTGTTCACCTAGCTATCAATAGATATCCAGGAAATAGGCAGCTGTTATGGGCTATCAGGAGGCAGGAGGCCTGGTCGAGGACCGGGCCGCGGGGACGTTGAACTCCGAAATCCTGAAATCGTGTAACCTGCCTCCCATGCACGGTCAGTCGCTAGCTCTGGGGCCCCTGGCCATGCCTATCCTGCTCCCCCAGAGTGAACAAGAGTGTGCTACACACGCACACTAAACCACACAATTCCAAGCACAGATATGACGATAATCAAGACAACACTTATTATAAATGGCGACCGCTGACTGGTCAGTGAGGCTCTCCCCCCCCCCCCCGAGACTCCCGCCTACTTTGTCACCGCCGCCCCTCTCCCACCACCGCCACTCTCCCACCACCACCACCACTGTCTCAGTAACACACTGACAGACACACTCACTTTATGCCAGGTGACACCACATCCTGGTCACACACCATGCACACTACAAGAGCCTCTGCTATAGTGAAGATGTGTTGTGATATATTGTAATATATTTCGTGTAATTGTGTGGTCATACTTCAAGTGTCTCGGGGAATACTGTACACATTCTACTGCAGGTGTATATACAGAGGCCGGTGGTGTCTACTGGAAGGGTGTGTGGTGAACACCAGAAGGTAGTCACGAAACCCCACTTGACACGGCTCTGAAGTTTACCTGGCCTGTACCTAGCAAGGACTTCAGGGTGTTATCCCCCCCCCCCTCCCCTAGTGTGGTCAGCCTGGCTGTTGGAGCTGACGCGGCTCTCGCTTGACTGCGCCAGCGAGCCATCCAGGCCCAGTTAAGAGGAAGTTATCAGGGCGAAGAGTTGTTTTAACCAGGTTGAGAGAGCAAGTTCCCCATCGTTTAGCGTGTTGCTGACACCTCTCGGGCTCGTCTGTGTCTCCAGCCTCCAGCCAGTGTCCCCGTGTCTCCTCAACATGGCCCGCTTGCAGTCTCCGTGACGTAGTGGTAAGACGCTCGCCTGGCGTTCCAGGAAGCGCTATGTCCTGGGTTCGTATCCTGGCCGGGGAGGATTTACTGGGCGCAAATCCTTAACTGTAGCCTCTGTTTAACTCAACAGTAAAACGTGTACCTGGTTGTTAAACAATTCTTCGCGGGGGTCGTATTCCAGGGAACACAGGATTAAGGACCTGCCTGAAACGCTACACGTACTAGTGGCTGTACAAGAATGTAACAACTCTTGTGTATATATAAATAAAAATAATGTTAGTTACCCTTAATATCTTGTCTGGTGTTGTTCCATCTACCCTGTTTCTTTTCCCTAACGTGACCAGTTCCAGTTCTCTCAGCTGGTCGTTGTATTTAGTGCCCTCGGTAAGCGGCGTGTTAACTTGTTATACACCCCATCCCTGTGTAGGGCACCGATGGAAAGGTCACACACATAATGGCTTCAATAATTGAACCTCGGTGTTGGACGCCAGTTAGTCGCCCATGGACATACACATAGGGTGACCTAATACCCTCTTAAGCTAAACAACTTAATAAGTATCAACAACGTGTCAGCAGATTTGAATGTAATCTACTCTGCTGCAGACCTCAGACCTCAGACACACCCCGGGCCTCAGAGCGTCTACACGCGCTCTCTTACACACGCTACAAGCTAGTTCGTGGCCCGTGTAGAAGATAGAAGATATATATATATATTTATAATAAAACTAAGAAAAAGCAGTGGACGTTTGGTACTCCAATTCCTGCCCACAACCTAATCATTCTACAACAACATCGACCGATGTAACATCTGTCCATTTTAATGAATGAAGAACAATTTTTATTTATATTACTTCTAAGAACCATCAGTTATGAACCCATCCCTGCCCTTGTGTGGCAGTGCACAATATAAAGTTGTTTTCACATATCCACACATTAAAACATTGATTATAACCATGATATATATATATACTTCCGCCTACAGCTTAGACCTATTGTCTTATGCATGACCCTCTGTCCTGCGTGACAGTGAATACCAGCATTATCCTCACTTTAATAAGACTTAATCGAAATCCTCAGATTAGGCAAAATTGTAATTAATTTTGTCAATAAAGATGTTAATAATAAATAATAACTTCTTCTCCTGGCAGGCTGACTGCGTCACTCAAGGTCTGGGTTGGATGGGTGTGGAGTAGGGCTGAGCACTGAGTAAGTCACTCACCGCAGATGTGGTCTCGTGTATACACACTTCTGGCCCACCGCTTAAACCACTTCTCACATAAACAAAAGGCTATTGATATATGTATTTGTGAATGTAATTGCAGTATGTGTATGTGTATATATATATATATATATATATATATATATATATATATATATATATATATATATATATATATATATATATATATATATATATATATATATATATATATATGTCGTACCTAGTAGCCAGAACTCACTTCTCAGCCTACTATGCAAGGCCAAATTTGCCTAGTAAGCCAAGTTTTCATGAATTAATTGTTTTTCGACTACCTAACCTACCTAACCTAACCTAACTTTTTCGGCTACCTAACCTAACCTAACCTATAAAGATAGGTTAGGTTAGGTAGGGCTGGTTAGGTTCTGTCATATATCTACGTTAATTTTAACTCCAATAAAATAAAATTGACCTCATACATAATGAAATAGGTAGCTTTATCATTTCGTAAGAAAAAAATTAGAGAAAATATAATAATTCAGGAAAACCTGGCTTATTAGGCCAATCGGACCTTGCATAGTAGGCTCAGAAGTGCGTTCTGGCTACTAGGTACGACATATATATATATATATATATATATATATATATATATATATATATATATATATATATATATATATATGTATATATATATGTACATGCATTAAAAAAAATTGTGTAACTAGTTTCAGAAGATTGTTACTTGCTTTGCTAAATGAACTGTATGGTTCAGTTCCTGAACCTGTCATATACTTCTGTAACCCTTCCCACAACCCGCCCACGGGATGGGTATGGAGTCCACTACAGCCCACGGGATGGGTATGGGGTCCACTACAGCCCACGGGATGGGTATGGGGTCCACTACAGCCCACGGGATGGGTATGGGGTCCACTACAGCCCACGGGATGGGTATGGGGTCCACTACAGCCCACGGGATGGGTATGGGGTCCACTACAGCCCACGGGATGGGTATGGGGTCCACTACAGCCCACGGGATGGGTATGGGGTCCACTACAGCCCACGGGATGGGTATGGGGTCCACTACAGCCCACGGGATGGGTATGGGGTCCACTACAGCCCACGGGATGGGTATGGGGTCCACTACAGCCCACGGGATGGGTATGGGGTTCACTACAACCCACGGGATGGGTATGGGGTCCACTACAGCCCACGGGATGGGTATGGGGTCCACTACAGCCCACGGGATGGGTATGGGGTCCACTACAGCCCACGGGATGGGTATGGGGTCCACTACAGCCCACGGGATGGGTATGGGGTCCACTACAGCCCACGGGATGGGTATGGGGTCCACTACAGCCCACGGGATGGGTATGGGGTCCACTACAGCCCACGGGATGGGTATGGGGTCCACTACAGCCCACGGGATGGGTATGGGGTCCACACGTTTTAAAAGACAAAGGCAGTGGACTTATATACTGTGACTCGCAGAGTGCACTCCTGCCATTGAACGCACATAGTAGTGACACCCAGAAAATAGTCAGTGATATTCGAATCAATGTTTTAGCTGCTAAAGAAACGAGATTTGAAATTAAATTCCTATGGATACCATCACATGTTGACATCTCAAGGCATGACACTGTTGATATGCTTGCAAAGACAGCCTGTAGAAAACCAGTAATAGAAAGTGATATGGGTGTTTCATTAGCAGTGACAAAGAGAATACTTAAACAAATATCTAATAAAGATCTCACCGACCTAACAAATTCACAAAGACCTGAAAGTTGTAGCATTAAATATTATGATAGATATCGTGAGGAGACATTCATATATGGGACTAATACCACAAGAACCCGGCAATGTGATGTTATAGTGGCCAGAATACGCCTGGTAAGGTGTATTCTGGCCACTGGTAAGTATAGCAAAGACTGGTAAGTATAGCAGGGGCTGGTAAGTATAGCAGGGGCTGGTAAGTATAGCAAGGGTTGGTAAGTATAGCAAGGGCTGGTAGTATAGTAGGGGCCGGTAGTATAGCAGGGACCGGTAGTATAGCAGGGGACGGAATGGCAGGATAAGGATGCAGAAAAATCTTAAGCAGGGAATGGGATATTAGATGGAAAGGGGAGGTACAGGGTAGTAGGCCAACCACTTTGGATTTGTGGTGATGGTGGTAGTGTGGAGTAGTGAAGCGTCCTCGGTGTGTGGCTGTGGCAGCGGCGCTGCTCGTCTTACTGGGCTCTTCTTGGTGTTGCTTCTCGCTGCCTTGTTTCTTCTTGCTTTATATTCATCGTCATCTGGACTTGACTTCTCGTTGTCACGATGCCAATTTCGCTGTTTGAATAAAGTTGTAGAATTCGGGTTCAATGGTTTAGTAAGGCGAGGTCACGGCTGCGGAAGACAGTCTCGGCGTCCACGTACCAATGGTCTGGCGGCTCCAGTTCCTTATTATTGTCCCAGGAGTTGCTCGTTGATGAGTAGGGTTTCCTTACGTCTTTGCTCCGGGGTATACTGGAGGCCACGTGCGTCTGTGGTGTAAAAGACAGTGGGAGTCTTGGCTACTTGATCACGGTCAGTCATGGTGGTGGATGTATGTATCGCTCACATTCACCGCACGTTCTTTTATCAGATGATGAAAATGATTCATCTTTGTTGGAGGTAGTTAATGTTGCATCTGCAGATGATTTATTGGCCGGTGGAGCAGGAGTTGGTGTTGTGAGATCAGTGGATGACGCAGTTATTCCAGGAGCAGATGTTCTGCGTAAACGCCAGGTGCTGAGCGTCGAAATTGCAAAATCGAGATGTGCCGTTGCAGGAAGTAGATCGTCTGGTACTGTTATATCGGCAGACCATTTGTAGTTAATACCCTGATGATGGCTTGAATAGGCTGCTGTCAGTGCTCGTAATCCTCTCAACAAGGTGGAGCAGTACAAGCACCTTACTGTTGTTTATGGTGGCTAGTGGCAGTGGCTGCGTTGGTGGTGAGGTCGGTCGCTGGGCGTGGCCCTCCCAGGCGGGTCCTGTGGAGGTGCGGCGGCCGCCGTACTTGCTAAGGTGCGGAATGCTGCAGTTTGGATTCTTGCGGGAATGGTGTGGAGACGGATTGGCTTCCCTTACCTTGATGGTGCTCTGGGAGTTCTACTCCCCAAGCCCGGCCCGGGGCCAGGCTTGACTTTTGAGAGCTTGGTCCAACAGGAGCGGCCCGCATTCACCACAGCCCGGTTGGTCCGGCACTTCTTGAAGAAAAAATGTAATATATAGCTCTTGAAATAGAAAATTCTCTAACTAGCTGCCAATTGTAATTATAATGTATGAAGAATATATGTAATTGTTAATGTAATTATCATCATGGAGGTCTGATAAAGACCTTTTGTGCCCTCTGTAATCCTTTTTGCGCTACCGCTCACAGGATGAGTATGGCGTGGACAAAAAAACTAGCCGCCTCCAGCGGCAACAATCAACAATCAAAATTTTTAAGAAAACTATCCGATTTTCTTTTAAAGATGTCCACATTTGTTCCGGCAATATTTCTTAAGCTCGCTGGGAGGATGTTGAACAACCGTGGACCCCTAATGTTCATGCCATGTTCTCTTTGCCTATGGCACCTTTGTTCTTCACTATCTCTATTCTGCATTCCCTTCTATGTTGTTCACTCCAGTATGTTGTTATTTTACTGTGTAAATTTTGGACTTGGCCCTCCAATATTTTCTATTTATATATTATATGATACCTCTCTCGTCTCCTTTCTAAATGCTACATTTGAAGAGCTTTGAGACGATCCCAATAACTTGGGTCCCTTAATTATCGTGTCTCTGTATGCCCGGTGTTCTCTGTATTCCCTCTATTTCAGTAATCTCCCCTGCTCTGAAAGGGGGAAGTGAGTACTGAGCAGTATTTAAGACGGGACAGCATGAGTGATTTGAATAGTACAACCATTGTGATGAGTTCTCTAGACTTGAAGATTCTGGTAATCCATCCTATTTTTCTCGCTGATGCAATATTTGCTTGGTTATGCTCCCTAAACGTTAGGTCGTCAGACATTATTATTCCCTGATCCTTTACATGCTGTTTTCCTACTATGGGCACATTTGATTGTGTTTTGTACCCTGTATTTTGTTTAAGGTCCTCATTTTTACTGTAAGTACCTGGAATTTATCACTGTTAAACATGTTATTTTCTGCTGCCCAGTCGAAAACTTTATTAATATCTGCTTGTAGTTTTTCAATGTATCAACAGAAGTAAATTTCATGCTGATTTTAGTGTCATCTGCAAAAGATGATACGAGGCTATGATTTATTTTTGTCTATATCTGATATGAGAATAAGGAAGAGCAGTGGTGCAAGGACTGTGCCCTGAGGTACAGAGCTTTTTACTGTGATTGGACTATTTGATTTAATTAACTGTTACTCTTTGCGTTCTGTTTGACAGAAAATTTAACATTCATCGTCCTACTTTACCTGTTACTCCTAATGACCTCATCTTGTGGGCTATCACTCCATGGGTGCATTTATCAAATACCTTTGCTTTTGTGGGGTTCAGTCCCTGAGCCCATTATGTGCCTCTGCAACCCTTTCCACTACCGCCCACAAGATGGGTATGGGGTGCATAATAAATGAACTAAACTAAAACTTTGCGAAGTCCGTGTTTACCCTCCTCAAGAAAGGATTTATCAAGCCTTTCGCAGCTACTCGACCACTATGACAAAATCACTGATGCGTTAGAAGAAAAACATAATGCAGATGTGGTATACACGAACTTTGCAAAGACATTTGATAAATGTGACCAGAGTGATGGCCCAGAAAAGGTCAGTTGGAATAACAGGTAAAGTAAGGCGATGGATATTCAATTTTCTGTCAAACGGAACACAGAGTAACTGTCAACCAAATAAAATTGTCAAAGCATAGTTAAGAAGTCTGTACCTCAGGGCACAGTCCTTGTACCACTGCTTTTTTTCTTATTCTCCAGCCCATCCTCCTGTTTTGGTAGTATTTATAGAAACGATGAGGACCATTGTATATATATATATATACCCACCTACAACGAAATTAGAAAGTAGAATCTGAACTATTGAGTTGGACACACCGGAAAACTATTCTTTACTTGTGTTGCTTTGGCAAACTAAACTAACCTTCCTAGGCCTAATACACGATATCTGAGGCCTAATATAGTACATATGTGTGCTATACTAGGCCTAGGAATATTAAGTTTGTTTTTTAGTTTCATTTAATTTAAAAGAATTCCTGACTAGTCAGTATACGACTATCTAAAAGCCAAGTACGTACGAATTCGTGACTACTGACGACCGTCACAATATCTAAACAGGAAGATGTCTGGGATGCTCCCGGACGCAGGTTAGAATCCTCGTCACGGCCCTTGTGGATTTGTTCAGGAAGATGGGTTGCCATTCTCACACCAGATACACACAAAAATACAAGTCACAGCTTCGTTCCACAAGGTTCCTCTCGCCGCCACTCTCGCTGGGTTTAGGCATTGCGTGGTATAAAATAAACCCAGTAAAAGCTGAGACGACGCTGGGACAGTCCCCTCTTGTTGGGTCACTTGGGGAGGAGGGGGGGGGGTGAGGGTGTGTGGGGGAGGGGGTGAGGGTGTGGAGGGGGGGGGGGGCAGGAGATGATGGGAGAGAAGAGAGAGGGAGAGTGAGGAGGGGCCGGATAAGCAAGATCGTGGTTTTAGATTCAGCTACTGGGAACAAACAGTTCCAAGTAGCACGAGCTATGGTGAGCCCCTAGTGGATTTAACTGGCATAGAAGCGAGGTTGAAATAAGCAAGAAAGAGTAGGGGATGTTAAATGAGTGTAGAAGCGAGGGGAGGGAAGAATGGGTGTTGAGCAGGGACGAGATAACGCGTGTAGGAGATAGAAGGGAAGGGGAGTGGGAGAGAGGGTAGAGGAGGGAAGGGGTGTAGACCAGGGAGTATTAATGTGAGGTGGAGGAGAACGGGAGGAGGTGAGAGGGGTAGAGGGGAAGACGAGGCACAAAGTCACCACAAGTTGACTTTGTGGAGCCAGCCTAATCGCTGCTTCACTCCACGAAGGAGGAAGACAGGGACCAGCCTAATCGCTGCTTCACTCCTCCAGGAAGGAGGAGCACAGGAACCAGACTTATCGCCGCTTCACTCCTTCTCAAGAACCTCCTGGTTCTTCTAACCATGTTTGGATATATGAAATTAAAATAGCAGTCAAACTAGCCAGAGAGGAAGAGGTATGGAAGGTGGCGGTAGGTGTTAACATGCTAACCAACACCAGTTTACCGGCCGTAAACAACTATAAAGGCGGCGGAACATATGAATTACTACATAAAGAGACTGCATCATCATCACCGCCTTGAGCAGAGTGCCACGGAGGTGTCACCAGGCACAGCCCACCCACCTTCACCACCCATATCAACACAAACATCACACACACACAGAAAGAATTTGTTCAGTGTCAGGGTAGTTAACAAATGGAATGCATTAAGAAGTGATGTGGTGGAGGCTGACTCCATACACAGTTTCAAATGTAGATATGATAGAGCCCAGTAGGCTCAGGAATCTGTACACCTGTTGATTGACAGTTGAGGTGGGACCAAAGAGCCAGAGCTCAACCCCCGCAAACACAACTAGGTGAGTACACACGCACCAACCATGTGCTGCGAGACTAGCATCAAGATGCAAGATCAACACGGGTACACACACACTCAAATACACGTTCACTCAATTACTAATTCTTTAACTATTAATTTTCAGGAGTTAAGAAATCACCAATATGGTTCTATCTCTGGAAGAAAGCTCAGTTCCTTAAATACTGTTTCATAGTAATAACTTTAGCCTTTATGTGTGTGTGTGTGTGTGTGTGTGTGTGTGTGTGTGTGTGTGTGAGATTACATATATATAAACTAAATAAAAAACTAGAGTTATACCAAGCACCCGATAACTAAAAGGCGAAGCCCAAGAGCTGGAGGTAATTCCCCGCACGCGCTAGCACACACACATATATAAGCATAGTTAAGATCATACACCTGGCACAACCAGGAGTCACATGTTCCACTAATATGTGATGGATTATCAGCAGAAGGTGGCGGCGGATTAGAGGGGGCGAGGGGCTGAGAGAGAGAGGCTGAGAGAGAGAGGCTGAGAGAGGGAGGCTGAGGGAGAGAGTTTTTTCTATTATTATTTTCTACCACAGACGTGGCCACACATTTACAATGCTAACCAGCATATATACATTTTCTGCTGTCCTCCATGGACAGGGTGAGAGATGTGTTAAACATATAGTTCAGGGATTTATTGAACAATCAACCACAGAAGGTGATTGTAGTGCCTTTAAAATGCTAATTTAACCTATAGACATAAAGCATAGATACACAGAGTTATGTCTGCCCTACATAAAGTGGTCGATTTGTTCTTAACATAGTATCATTAATGTGCATTTACAAAGGTGAAATGTAATTCTGATCAGCTTCCACATATACTTTATACACATACATATACATACATACACACACACATACATATATACACATATAAATACATACACATACATTTATGGCTCTCCTACTCTGAGAAAGTAAGATAGCTGATAGAGAAACTAGTGTGTTATTAAGCACTTAACCACTGAAGGTGATTAAGGTGCTTTTACAAGCTCAGGTTATATAGTTACATCACATACATACATTGTATAGTTGATACATTACATGGTCAATTGGGACATTCTACAATATAATGTTCAAGGGAGTGCATGTTTTCTCTTTCACAAAGTTGACACATTGTGTACTCGACATTTGGGTTTTGAGAAAGCTGCCAGATACGTCTATATCTCAGGCGTATTCTGGCCACTCTCCTTTACATTTTATAATCACTCGCTGTGCTCTCGTCCGATTTGTCCAAGGTGGAAACCGGTCTCGGTCTCAAAACAATTATGATTTTTTATATATCTTTAGTAACCATTTGAGAAGCAAGGGTTTCTTTACAAGATTATCTCTGAAAGTGACGGTCAAGTTTAAAGTCTTTGTAGCAGTAATGTTCATATTCCAGTGAACATGAACAAGGCATTAGCTCAATACGGTTATTAGCACACTAATAACGCTCATGGCATTATTAGTGTGCAAAAAGCTAGAAGGTAAAGCTACTGCCACTCCGGATATGGTGGGTGCGCCTCACGACGAGTCATTCAGATTCAGAACTCGTCGCTGTGCTTCCCAAACAAGGAGGCGTCCGGTCACATCTGCATTAGGAAGATGGACTCATACTATTTCCTCTTCTCTTTTATAAAAGTCATTTGCTTAGAACTCGAAGCCTTCATAATGAAACATTTGTAAACACACCAACGCAGAATTCATTGCCTCGTTCATTTCCATGACTTGTAGAGTCAGTGCGTCCGTATATAGAGTCCATCTCTCAAGGTGTTCAAGAAAGAACTGGACAAACACCTCCAAAGGATACCTGACCAACCAGGCGATGATTCATACGTCAGACTGCGAGCAGCCGCGTCTAACAGCCTGGTTGACCAAACCACCAACCAATAGTCTAGTCAGAGCCGCGGGTACACTGATCCCCGGAATCAGTGTACCCGGAAGGTATTTTCCCATACCTATCCTTGGAGAGGTATGGGAGAAGGTTACCATCGCCAATGGGCTACTCGCCAGTGAATTAACATAAGCAGAGGTGCAGGAGATGCACATTTTGGCCTTGAGGGAGTAAGGCAGAATAATATCAGTAAGACATGGTGTGGAGGAGCACATGTTGGGCAGCCTGCTCTTGGCCAGCCTGGCCCCTGTCACCAGTTAGCTAGAGAATTAAAGGCGGCCGACTGCCATTCCGTGAAGGGTGCACTTTTTATAGTTTTAATAGAGTGAAGGAAGGTGTCCGAACTTGCACTGGTGCCAAGTTGAGAGATGGAGAGCAGCACATTACTCTTCCATCGAGGAGCACAACACTTGATGAAATAAGCGGGAGAACCACTGACAACTGTGAAGCATCACACAGCAACTTAAATACAAGTTCACAGGGAAGTTAAACCCATGAAGATGGAAGTCTGAGAAGTACCTTGTTATACCTTGCTCTGAAAATATCCAAAGCGTCACTTGCCAGTCAGGTTAAGCACAGCTTGATCTAACAAGTAACTGGATGGGTGAACTATTAACCATTTTTGGGTTTCCTGCCCAATACATGGATATACCCATACCCATAAGGATTTGTAGTATAACAAAATGATATCAGGTCCCCGTGGCGAAGTGGTAAGTCACTCGCCTGGCGTTTCGCAAGCGCTTTGGCCTGGGTTCGTATCCTGGCCGGGGAAGATTTACTGGGCGCCAAATCCTTAACTGTAGCCTCTGTTTACCCAATAGTAAAATGCGTACCTGAATGTTAAACGATTTGGCGGGTCGTATTCCAGGGAACATTAGGATTAAGGACTTGCCGGAAACGCTACGCGTGCTGGTGGCTGTGCAAGAGTGTAAGAACTCTTACATATGCAAGAGTGTAAGAACTCTTACATATGCAAGAGTGTAAGAACTCTTACATATGCAAGAGTGTAAGAACTCTTACATATGCAAGAGTGTAAGAACTCTTACATATGCAAGAGTGTAAGAACTCTTACATATGCAAGAGTGTAAGAACTCTTACATATGCAAGAGTGTAAGAACTCTTACATATGCAAGAGTGTAAGAACTCTTACATATGCAAGAGTGTAAGAACTCTTACATATGCAAGAGTGTAAGAACTCTTACATATGCAAGAGTGTAAGAACTCTTACATATATAAAAGACAAGCACAGTGGAAAGGTGGAATGAAGTGCTAAGCTCAGCACCCTGCTCCTCCTCTACGGGCACGACGCCTTCAGGGTATTGTTCAATGGTCCTCACCAAGCCATTCACAGACGTATGGTGAGGGGGCTCCATTACCTGCTTCCTGGAAAGTGGTATCCATTACCAGCTGTATGTGAAGGCACCCATTACCAACCATGCTGAGAGGGGGCCCATACACACCTGTGTTGGGGAGGTAATGGCCATTACCAGGTGTGTGTGAGTGGCACTCTGGCTCCCGAGAGTGCCACTAGCCAGGTGTGAGCCCATTTAGCGGGCTCTCACACGGTGTTTGGTGACGGACAAACACAGTCATTCGTCCGGCTCGACAACAACTATTCGTCCATATTTATCATATCATTTTATTGCAGGGAATAAACAAATTTTGTAAACATCAAATACATTTTAAAATATACAAAACATGTATACTCAGAGGGATACACAAAAGCGATTTAAACACACATTATATCCCGCAGAAGTTACCCCAAACAAATTCCCAATTCTCACACGCACCAGACCCCTGTCATACCACCCGAGCACACATTTCCAGTTGCACCAAAATCCTACTGCACAAATGACCCCACACATTTATAACCCGTCAAGGCACACTGGCGGAAGGACAACTTACCCAGGTATGCCGCCTGACTCCATGTAGTTGGCGAGGGTGACGTCGTTGGACCAGACATCGAACTGCCACTTGCGAAGTCCCAGCACGCCACAGTGGACTCTGCCGGAGTGGATCCCAACCCGCATGTTGACGTTCACGCCTGTCACCTCCCGCACCAACCTGCCGGCCACACCACACTATATAATACACTCCTGGAAATCTATATTTATAATGAAATGTAAAGTGCCAGTAGCATTATCGCTCAGTGTAGCTTAGAGACAAAACTTGGATACAGGGAATACCAAAAGCATTTAAATCAGTATAAATAGCTCCACTAAAGAAGTGAGGGAATAAAGCAGTGGCTAAACATTGTCGGCCATTAGCACTAACAATTCACACATTAAATGTTTTTCAAAGAGTGATAAAGAGTAAGATCTCCAGTTTCATGGTGACCAATGACCTCCACCACCCAGGTCATGGTAGATTTAGAGTGGGTAGATCATGCTTTTCGCATGATCTACCACTCTAGCTGGGTAGAGTAACTGCACTGAGTAAGTAACTGCACTGACATGATTGTCAGTGCAGTTACTTAACCACTGACAAAGTCATAGAAGTCCTAGAAGCAAAACAAAATGCAGATGTATTATACACGGTCTTTCCAATGCTCACATTAGATAAATGTGAATAGTGTGTTATAGCCCATCAAATGAGATAAATAGGAATAATCAGGTTAAGTTGGGCAATGGATATTCAATATCCTATCAAACAGAATGCAAAATCTAGGCCATGCACAGTGAAAAGTTCTGTACCTCGGGGCACAGTCCTTACACCACTGTCTTTTCTCATTCTCATATCAGATATAGAAAAAATTACAAATCTGTGTCATCTTTTGCACATGACACAAAAATCAGCATGAAAATTGATTCTGTATTGAAAACTACAAAACGGTATTTTGTTTAACAGTGATAAATTCCAGGTACGTAGGTATGGTAAAAATGAACTTAAACCAAATACTGGGTACAGGATCTCACAGTAGGAAAACATTACGTGAAGGATCTGGAAACATGAAAGTAACTTGTATGTCAGACGACCTAACGTTTAGTGAGCATAAACAAGCAAATATGGCGACAGCCAGGAAAATAATGGGATGAATTATGAGAAGCTCAAATCCAGGGCTCCCATCACAGTGTTCATACTGCTCACATTGCTTGTACACTCCCACCTGGAGTGCTGGCCCATACTTGCTTCCCCTCTCAGAGCGGGAGATAGTTCTGAAATAGAAGGGAACATACACGACACTCATAGACACGATAAAATACCTTAATTATTGCGACCGTCTCAAAGTTCAAAAATTCAAATTCAAATTCAAAATTCAAATGTTTATTCAGGTAAAGTACATACATACAAGAGGTTATACAAACATTGATGGATTTATAGATAGAGCTAGTACATACAATGCCTAAAGCCACTATTACGCAAAGCGTTTCGGGCAGGAAAAACACTAAAACTTAATACTCAAAATGTGTTCTCTGGAAAGAAGAGGAGAAAAGTATCACACAACATATACATGGAAAACACTGGAGAGACAGGTGCCAAATGTACACAGTAGAATAACAACATACTGGAGCGACCGATATGGAAGGAACTACAGAATAGAGGCAGTGAAGAGCAGAGGTGCCATAGACATAAACAAAGAGCACCATGAACATCAGAGGTCCAGGCTCTTCAATATCATGCCAGCATGCATACGAAATATTGCCCAAACAAAAGTGGACTTCAAGAATAACTAGACGGTTTCTATATAGTCGAAATGGCTTGGCGTTTTCTCCTGACTGTTCTTTCCCTCGTGAGTGTTTAACCTTCCCTCCCCGCAAGAAATGCTGGATCAACCAGCTTGTAGTGGGTATGTGGACCTGCGGGCCGCCCCAAGCAACAGTCTGTTGGACCAAGTTATCACTAGTCAAGCCTGGCCTCGGGCCGGGCTTGGGTAGTAGAACTCCCAGAACACAACACAGGTACCATCCAGGCTCGCTATGGAAATTACCAGTTAAATAGCATATAACTATTTATATTGCCACTTAATAAAATCTCCCCAAATACCTGCAATTTAACAATAGGAACATTTTAAAATAAACTGCAATGTTAATATTTTACCAAAATACATTTTACCAATGTATTTTATTTTACCAATGTTAATATTTTATGTATTTTATTTTATAGCACATTGATTTGATTGCTTTTCCCGCACTATATACACCAACTCATTAACTGCAAGCGGGACTCATCTTCTATACCGTGTCTAATTTGGTTCTCGGAAGATATCGTAGAGAATGATTAGCACTTTATGGGTTTTCTATTAACAATTGAATCCATCAATTTATAATTTCCAGTTTGTTTTCAATATCAAATGAGTTGAAATATAAATTTCAAGAAGAAACGTATTGCCATTTTTTTGGGTTGAGTTTAATGTTAATATTACTTCAGATAATTTCCAGACTACAACTATGAACAGTGGGCGTAGGTACAGTGGGCGTAGGTACAGTGGGCGTAGGTACAGTGGGAGTAGGTACAGTGGGCGTAGGTACAGTGGGCGTAGGTACAGTGGGCGTAGGTACAGTGGGCGTAGGTACAGTGGGCGTAGGTACAGTGGGCGTAGGTACAGTGGGAGTAGGTACAGTGGGCGTAGGTACAGTGGGCGTAGGTACAGTGGGAGTAGGTACAGTGGGCGTAGGTACAGTGGGAGTAGGTACAGTGGGCGTAGGTACAGTGGGAGTAGGTACAGTGGGCGTAGGTACAGTGGGCGTAGGTACAGTGGGCGTAGGTACAGTGGGCGTAGGTACAGTGGGAGTAGGTACAGTGGGCGTAGGTACAGTGGGCGTAGGTACAGTGGGAGTAGGTACAGTGGGAGTAGGTACAGTGGGCGTAGGTACAGTGGGCGTAGGTACAGTGGGAGTAGGTACAGTGGGCGTAGGTACAGTGGGCGTAGGTACAGTGGGCGTAGGTACAGTGGGAGTAGGTACAGTGGGCGTAGGTACAGTGGGCGTAGGTACAGTGGGAGTAGGTACAGTGGGCGTAGGTACAGTGGGAGTAGGTACAGTGGGCGTAGGTACAGTGGGCGTAGGTACAGTGGGCGTAGGTACAGTGGGCGTAGGTACAGTGGGAGTAGGTACAGTGGGCGTAGGTACAGTGGGCGTAGGTACAGTGGGCGTAGGTACAGTGGGAGTAGGTACAGTGGGCGTAGGTACAGTGGGCGTAGGTACAGTGGGAGTAGGTACAGTGGGCGTAGGTACAGTGGGCGTAGGTACAGTGGGAGTAGGTACAGTGGGCGTAGGTACAGTGGGCGTAGGTACAGTGGGAGTAGGTACAGTGGGCGTAGGTACAGTGGGCGTAGGTACAGTGGGAGTAGGTACAGTGGGAGTAGGTACAGTGGGAGTAGGTACAGTGGGAGTAGGTACAGTGGGTGTAGGTACAGTGGGCGTAGGTACAGTGGGAGTAGGTACAGTGGGCGTAGGTACAGTGGGCGTAGGTACAGTGGGAGTAGGTACAGTGGGTGTAGGTACAGTGGGCGTAGGTACAGTGGGAGTAGGTACAGTGGGCGTAGGTACAGTGGGAGTAGGTACAGTGGGAGTAGGTACAGTGGGTGTAGGTACAGTGGGCGTAGGTACAGTGGGAGTAGGTACAGTGGGCGTAGGTACAGTGGGCGTAGGTACAGTGGGAGTAGGTACAGTGGGTGTAGGTACAGTGGGCGTAGGTACACTGGGCGTAGGTACAGTGGGCGTAGGTACAGTGGGAGTAGGTACAGTGGGCGTAGGTACAGTGGGAGTAGGTACAGTGGGCGTAGGTACAGTGGGAGTAGGTACAGTGGGCGTAGGTACAGTGGGCGTAGGTACAGTGGGCGTAGGTACAGTGGGTGTAGGTACAGTGGGCGTAGGTACAGTGGGTGTAGGTACAGTGGGCGTAGGTACAGTGGGCGTAGGTACAGTGGGTGTAGGTACAGTGGGCGTAGGTACAGTGGGTGTAGGTACAGTGGGCGTAGGTACAGTGGGCGTAGGTACAGTGGGAGTAGGTACAGTGGGCGTAGGTACAGTGGGCGTAGGTACAGTGGGAGTAGGTACAGTGGGCGTAGGTACAGTGGGCGTAGGTACAGTGGGTGTAGGTACAGTGGGTGTAGGTACAGTGGGCGTAGGTGCAGTGGGAGTAGGTACAGTGGGTGTAGGTACAGTGGGCGTAGGTACAGTGGGCGTAGGTACAGTGGGAGTAGGTACAGTGGGAGTAGGTACAGTGGGAGTAGGTACAGTGGGCGTAGGTACAGTGGGTGTAGGTACAGTGGGCGTAGGTACAGTGGGCGTAGGTACAGTGGGCGTAGGTACAGTGGGAGTAGGTACAGTGGGAGTAGGTACAGTGGGCGTAGGTACAGTGGGCGTAGGTACAGTGGGAGTAGGTACAGTGGGCGTAGGTACAGTGGGCGTAGGTACAGTGGGTGTAGGTACAGTGGGCGTAGGTACAGTGGGTGTAGGTACAGTGGGCGTAGGTACAGTGGGTGTAGGTACAGTGGGCAAGGCGAGCATCTGGGGGTGAACCAGGTCGTAGGTTCGATTCCAATGCATTTTTCGAAGACAAATTTTGTTATAAGGACTGGTAAGATGACCGGGCCGTGGGGGAAGAGGTCCTGGGAACCTCAAGGTATCCCAGTCAGAGTCCTACAGCCCCTGAACACGCCATTAACTGGCTTGCACAGTTAATGGCAACACTGGGGCCATTAACACGGCCATTCACACCCGCTAACAATAATGGTAATGACGCAACACAATTTCTCCGGTATTAAACCTTTAGGAACTGGGATCAACACAGCTTGACCGGGAACTTTGACAGGTGACAAACAAAATGCGTGGCATTACGGGCAGGACCTTATCAGCCAGCAACACGCAGCCTCCAACTTCTCACCAACTTTCCCGCCACCTTAAGACACCAGGCAAGGATACCCAGCGGGACCACTTAAGAGTCGTCTTCCCCCGGGAGAACAGTCTCCATACAGTGCTGGAAGGTCAGGCCAGGAGAACAGTCTCCATACAGTGCTGGAAGGTCAGGCCAGGAGAACAGTCTCCACACAGTGTTGGAAGGTCAGGCTAGGAGAACAGTCTCCACACAGTGCTGGAAGGTCAGGCTAGGAGAACTACAGT